TCATCTTGGTGCTCTGCAGGACGTGCTGCAGGTCCCGGTACTTGCAGTTGAGGGTGACGTAGCGGATGTCCCGCACCATGATGTCCTCCACCCGCACGTTGTATTTCCTGCCCAGGGAGGTTAGCGGTGGCCTCGGAGTCATGCCACCCTGGCCCCAGCCCAGCTCTGGAAGGTATGGCAGCTTCTTGATGCGGATGATGCTGTCGTAGAGGGAGGGCTGGAGGCTCTGTGCCACGGCGTTGGCCAGGATGACAGCAATCATGACGGGCAGGATGTGTGAGATCTGCCCCGTCAGCTCGAAGACGATGACGGCCGGGGACACGGTGTGGGTGACAGCACCCGACAGCGCGGCCGCCCCTGCACCCGTCCCCAGGAGACACAAGGGCGGTTGTCGGGTGCCGCCCATCAGGCTGGGTCCCCACATCAGGTCCCCACCCCCAGGCCACCCACCACACTCATAACCCTTGGGACCTTCTGGGCTTAGCTCTGGTGGTGGGACATCTCCAGACCTGGGGAACCCACTGGCTCCTCTGGAGAGTCTCCAGGCTTTGCCCGCCGGGGTGTCCTGGTGGCAGCCGGTGCTTACCCACCACGGCGTAGCCCCCCGGCACGATGCGGTAGGTGTTGCTGTTGGTGTGGATGCCATCGGGGAACCAGGCTGCCATGCTCTCCCCCACCAGGCGCCCGAAGGCTGCTCCTGCCCACAGAAAGGGGCTGGGAGCAGGACCGGGGGCTCTCCCGGCACCCAACCCAGCCTTGCCACCTCTCTGCCCCTGCGCCGCGAGGGAAGTGGACAGCTGGGGACATCCACGGGTGTCCCAGCGTGGGCTGCCAGGCAGCTCCCTCCTCCCACTGTGCCCCTGCAGGGTGTGGGCTCTCACCAATGATGAAAACGGGCATGAAAGCTCCACAGGGCACTGGGATGGTGGTGGCCAGGGCCGACATCCAGAACTGCGTGGGAGATGTAGACATTTGTTAGTAGTCCTCCCCTTGGCCCAGCCCTGACTCCTGTCCCTGCTTTGCCCCACAGCTGGCTGCTGTGGCGCAGCCCTGCTTCCTCCCAGGGGCACCTGGCCAGCACCTTCCTGGTGGCACCTGGCCAGCACCTCCCTGGTGGCACCCTGCCGAACCTCCCTGGTGGCACCTCGGGGCACCCTGCCAGCACCTCCTGCTGGCCCCTTGGTGGCTCCCAGCCCAGAACTCTAATGATATGCCAGTAGCACCCAGCCAACACCTTGGTGGCTTTTGGGAGTAGCCACCCAGTGCCTCTTGGTGCCACCTTGCTAGCAACCAGGCAGCACCTCCCCAGTGGCACCCAGAAGACCCTCCCCAGAGCCTCCTGGAGGCACCTCGGGGTTGGCAGGGGGAGGTGCACCCACCTTCATGAGGATGAAGACAACAAGGGTGACAAAGACGTTGGAGCGAGGGTGGCGCCAGGCCTCCAGGATGCCCAAGTATTCAAACTCATCACTGAGACCCTGCTTGGCCCACGTCTGGTTGTCGAAGAGTGTCACCAGGGTGTCCTTCTGGGTAAGCTGGTGATGGGCAGGGGTCAGCTGGGGCTGGAGATAGCCCCAGGGTAGGAAATGTTGTGCCACCCCACAGTGGGTACCTGGCCAGCCATGAACTGTCCGAAGCCAGGCGGGAAGGTCAGTGTGGAGATGAGCAGCGTCACCAGGGCAGGGAAGAGCAGGCGCCTGGCAGGGTGGCACAGGGCAGGGGGTGACGTTGGTGCAGCCCCAGCTCCACTGCCCTGGTGCTGGGGACTACCGGGCACCTACTTCTTCATGAGGAAGCGGTTGATGGTCTTCTGGCGGCGCATGAACTGCACGATCTTACGGTTGAGGTAGACGAAGAGCGCGCCGCCGAAGCCGCTTGCGATCCTGGGCAGGGGGAAGGGGTGAGCACCTGCATGTCCTCCCACCACCACCATCGTCACCAGCACCTCCGCCACCACCCCCGTGGCCACAGGACAGCGCCAGGGTGGCCACG